CACGTAGCGAAAAGAAGAAACGACTGGCGCGCTGTTGTTAACTCGGCTATAATCGCGTAAGCGGTGACTACGCCAATCAAGAAGAAGAATTCATGTAACCGCTTAATTAAAAATAATTAACCCTAATGAATCAGGAAAGCGATCTACTTGACGGTGAAGAACGCTGCGCTAATAATAAATTGAATATCCAAACCCTCGTTGACTCTGTAGAGTTATTCATTATATTCGTTACTACATCGCTAATTATTTCTAAATTATATAATATAAAAACTTTTAAATAGATAGAGTTATTCAATATTCCCGCTGAAGATGAAAAATGAAGGCAGTCAGGTCTCTTTTCTGACAGAAAATATTATATAATATAACAAAAGTGAGTGCAATATATAATATTTTATGTAGCAGAATTGACTTTCGAAAATTATAATTTGCTATAACTGAATTCCTATTGGAAATGCTTGTTCGCCGTTTTGTAAACGAAAATTAAAATAACCACAATGAAAGCAAAAATAATTTACGGGTTGGGCTCTTTATTTGCAATTTTTAGAGAAATTACCACATTAAGGTTTATACATTTTGCATAACATCAGAAAATATAGATTTCAACAAACATAAAGTTTTCTGACTATTTGAAAATTGCTGCTATTTTGGCGTGAGAATTTTCAGTTGCTATTTATAATTTTTTTTATATTATTATTATTTTGAAATGGTTTCCTTCTTCATACTTTAAATTAAAAAAAAAAAATAATAATGTCAATGAGTTTGGGAGATAAGAAGTTTATACCAAACTTTCGGAAAAAACACCAATTTTTTGCAATAAAAAATACAAATCCCCAAAATTTGAATATGTGATTTTAAAAAAGTGTAAGATATGATGCTTAAAAATCGTCAGGCAAGCATTAGAGATGTTGCAAGAGAGCTCGATATCTCTCGCAAGTTCGCGCCATTTTCAGTCGATCGAACAGAAAATAAAATTCCCTGATAAAACTGAAGGCCATCCCATAAAGTGCTTACTAAAAGTGTTTCAAGGACTTGAAAAATCGTTTGTATAAGTGAATTAAATCTGGTGAGAATTACTTTAGAAGCGACAAAATAAATATCAATGATTTATTAAATATTTTGCGTTTTATTTACCATTTCCAAGCTCGTCACTAATTATTTATGACATGGTCCCACCATGTTACTAGACATTGTGTTAGACTTAGCATTCACAGTAACAAAGTTGAAAACTTACGCACCATATTTTGATAATTGGTTCACTTCAGCAAGCTTTCTTGTGGCTCTAAAAGAAATGGGGATATTTTACATCGGCAAAATTCTAATGGGATCTGAACGATAGGTCTGACTTGAAAAAGCTTGGATGGTATGAAATGAAATACGAAACTAATCTTGGCATTGCCATAGTCTATTGAACCAATCGGGATATGCGTTAGAATGTGCAAAAAAATATTGTTTCCAAATATTATATAATAAGCACATGGGAGGAGTTGATCTTGCCGATGTGCTTAAGGAGCTGCTTATAGTGAAACATCGCTCCAGTAATTGGCACATGAAAATATTTCACTTGAGTCTAGGAACAGCAGTTATCAATTCCTGGCTCCTGTAACGGAGACATCTCGTCGTTAATCCAAGCATGTGCCACTTATAAAATTCTAGATGGATACCGCAACTGAGCTCTTTTAGTGCTACGCTGGTATTTTCCAGTTCTACTCAAAAGAAGAAGGGACGCTCCAGTGCTACGCTGCCGTCTTTGTAACACCTTTCTCAAAATGCGTAAAATGTGGTGTTCATCTATGCCGCAATACAGAAAAGAACTGTTTTTTTTTTTATCTTATCATACTTCAAATACAAAACAAACGTATACATATGTATAATAAATAAATATAAATCCCTTATTTTTTTTCTTTGCATGTATTTATGCCACCAAATACTGCTCTAAACGCCCAAAGCTGCTTAGAGACTTTTTTCGGTAGTCAATTGAGGCGTTTTAAGTCAGAAAACCAGGAAAAAACAAATGCTGATAGTTTTTTTAGGTCCAGTCCTGAAAAGTTTAACACTCCTTTGAATAAATGTTTGACTTTTTGTTAGACATACGGGTCTCAAGGAGTTGAACAATACCCACGTCATCTGTAATGTTACATTGCACCAATGTCGGTTGATATTTCCCTGCGCCCAAAACTTTTCTATGAGTGCTTTTGAAAGTTGGAGTGTGATTTCAGTACTGCTGCGTTTGATTCCGGACCTCTAAAGTCTCTACCGTATTGTGTTCAGCGATACTCCCCTTTTAAACAATTTTTTTTTAGTTTTCTTAAACTGAGTAGTGGTTTTAAAAAAACATAAATTTATTAGCTCTTTTGAGACCCTTAGAATGCTTCATTAGAAAGGCTGCTTCAAAACGTTTCATATACTGAACGCTCGTTTTACTTACTGCACTGAATTGTACAAGTCAGTGTTGATAAACAAGCAAAGAGTAAGCAACAGAAATGCCAATTTAGTGGCTTGCAAAACTTCGCAAAAATTGGTACAGGCATATTTCTCAAAGATAGATTTCGGTTGGGAAAATCAAGCCAGAGAGTCACCATTAAATAAAAATATAGCAGGCTTTGAATTTCGATTTCGCACCTTTACACATATTTTCGCAC